GGACACACAGGATTCAAAGTACAGCTTCCTAAAATAATTAAAAAGCTAAAGTTTTGAGGCTATCTGTATTAAATTCCCATTGGTCAGACTCATTCTTAAGAGTTTCAATTATATTTCTTTTCCTGCGATGAATAGTAGCTTTATGAAAAAAATTTGTATTTCTATCCCCTAATTTTAACCAAGTTGATCTACAATGATGATACCAATAAGCCTCTTCAAAGTCTAGTACTTGCTAGTATTCATGCCAGAGGAAGATCATGAGATTATGAAGGTAAAAGTTATTATCATAGGCCAATTTCCTATGGATACCCTTTATTACGCACAGAAGACGCTTCTTTTTATTAAATATATTACCAAAAACATTCTTATTTCATAAAGAGATATTATCCCTAAATTTAGTAACATTCTCAACCTAAGGAGTAGAAAGAATCCAAGAATTACGAACTTGATTATTAAAATCAGGATGAGAAATCCAAGGAGTCAAGAATTTAAAATTAGTATTATTAAAATTCTTTTTACTCTCATTATCCCTAATTTTAAGCCATAAGCTAACATGATCAGACTTAGGAATAGGGATATGAATAACATAACTATTAGGAAAGATTTGATTCCAACTATCATTTATAACCACCCTATCAATTATTTCTTTCAAGTTACTTCTTTGCCAAGTAAAAGTGTTGCCTTTAAACCCAAGATCAAATAGGTTACATTCATTTAAACAACTAGAAAATTTACTAATCTGGTATATATTAGCATTACATCCCCCCATCTTCTCTATATTATAGAGAACAATATTAAAATCCCCAGCAAGGCATTAGGGCCAGTGATATTTGTACTGAATTCAACTAATTCCCTCCAACATTTAGTTTTAAGTTTATCTATAGGCTTAACATAGATGGAAGATAAGAACCATTCCTTATTATCCATGATTTTAACTTTTAGATGAATAGCAATTCTGGATTTAGCCACAATAGTTATTTTAAGTTTATTATTATTTCAAAGACATCAAATGCCTCCAGAAAATCCAACAGCATCCACTTTCTCACACCTTTTTAATTGAATTTTGTTAATTATGTTGTCAGTTTTATCATTACTAACCTATGGTTCAAATATAGCAAGAAAATATATTCTGTAAATATTCACTAAATCATTAATTAACCTAGAAAAAGTTTTACCCTCGCTCACCTACAGTTCTAGAAAAAATAATTCATGACTTTATATAGACTAGGCTAAGAGGCATCCTCAGGATGCTTGAACAAAAGCTTGCTGGAATCCAACTCAGATCTAGGCACTAGGCTTTGTGTACTACTACTATGCTTATCTATATCCATACTAAATCCTGGGTCAAGAGGTTCTCTCTTTATGTCCTTTCCTGAGAGTTTATAGGAGTTCTAACAACTCCCTAGACCTATTCCTAATATGTCTTGGATTGATCCTTTAGAAGAGTTCTTGATAATCTTCTTTTCTATATATTTCATTATAGGGAAAATATCATTTTCTCAATTATTTTTCTTATTTAAAAAATTATCCTCAAGAAGAGGTGGGTTCTGTTCTGTAGGTATAAGATCCTCCCTGGGCTCCTTATGAATCTTAATTGATTGTCTGTTGTGATTTGGCTGAATTACTTTCTTATTATTGTTAGGAGTAAGGTTCTTTGGGCCACTTTTCCTTGCACGATCAGACTTACTAGGATTACCCTTATTATATTTTTTAAAGCTATCTACTTGCTGATTCCCAAGAGTGATCTCAGAATTACAAGTCATTTTATGCATATCTCTAGTCTCAGCATCACCAAACACATCAAAACGAGATCCTAGCAAGGGATCCTTACCTTTTCCAGTAGGGACAGGAGAATTACTATTTCTAGATGGACCAAGTTTCCTTCTAATGAGTTTTTTTTACTATTATCCAAGGGTCAAATTTTTCCTTAACATCCCCAACCTCATCTTCTTAACTAGAGTAGGTATTTGATTCTGTAGTAATGGTTCTAGAAATTTCATAATTATTTTTACTAACTATGAATTCAGACAGCTTTGTAATATTGGATTGAACAGTAGGGTTAAAATCAGGCTTTTCACTACAAAGATCCATTCTATGACCATATCTACCACAATTAAAGCAGATTAAGTATAAGTCCTCATATTCTACTCTAAATTCCTAACCTAACACTATAAAAGAAGAGACCAGTTTTTGGTTCAGATCTAATTCCACACATATTCTAGCAAATTTTCTCTAGAAATTAAAGAAGTGTGAGGACTGATTTTTAACATTGTCCCTAGACATGACTCTACTTGCCATACAAATTTCTAGTTATACAGTTCTAGAGGTAAGTTGGAGATTCGAATCTAAGCTGCAATTCTTTTAAGATTATAGCCCTTAGGTCGAAAAAGAGGTCTCCACCTTTAGACCAAGAGATAGTGGTCTAAAATTAACAATAGTCCCTCAAAAAGAGCAAATTTATAATCCTCTAGTTTATTGAATTTCACTAGGTAATAATCATTATTCAAGTCTAAAATTTTTAGATCTCCATTTTTTTTTTGCATAAAGTTCCCAATTTCTAGTTTAAAAAGTTAAAACTTATAAATTGTCCTAGGAGCTTTACTATAATGGTATATTTTCAAGGTGAGCACCATTGCTCATAGTCTTCCAAAGGGATTCTAATCTCAGGGAAAAGGTCCTTATTAACATTTACATTAAGGGCATCCACCCCTTTTTCTGGAGGAATATCAAAATCCTCCATTATAGATATGAGAATTTCATTATCGCCTAAGTCCATATATATATCTTTTAATGCTAAGATTTTATCCCTATAAAATGTACAAGAAGGAGAACAAGAGTTAGATGGAACTTGATTCGAGGGTAGATCGAAACTCTGGTCTTCTTGCATAAGTTGATTCAGTGCCTCCTGAGGGATCACGTCCTCCACTCTAACCTTCTTAGAGATGTAGGTTTTGGGGTCAAACTTTTTTGAGGAGTGTTTCTCAGCTTCTAACCTCCCCATAATTGCTTCCTTTTTGGGGAGGGATGAAAATTTTTTTGTCACGACGACGATCTAAATAAATGGTGAAGAAGAACACATGTCTTCTTGTAGATATTGATTCAACACTTCCACAGGCTCGTAACCTCCATTCTGCCTTTCTTTAAACTACGATCTTTAAGATCTGCCTTATTTGTTGAGCGTTTCTCAGCCTCCACTCTTACCTTAAGCACTCCCTTATTGAATCGAGAGATTTGAGGGCCGGAGCCCTCATTTATTTTTGTAGATGCCACTGGAAGGAGATATTTCGTCAAAATGACCGTAAGGGAAAGAGGAATGAAAGGATTAAGCAAACCCTAAAAGAAAGAGGCAGTGTAGTCTCGCTGTTTTCTAAGAAATGAAAGAAGCGAGAAGACAATATACAAGTAATTTTTAGTTAATATTTAATGAATATAAATATTTTAAATCTTAATAATTATAATATTTGTTATAAATATATAGTAATAAGTAAGTAGAAGATAATATTTTATTTCTAATAATATAACTGATTCTACACCTTCTAAATCTTTATAATAATAAAATTTGATATAAATATATAAAGTAATAAGTAATTACACTTATCAACATCATAAATGACTCTAACTATTCTGAAGTTTAATAATCATAAATTTTATTGTAAATATATATAATAATAATAAATATAGATGTATGATTGTATATCTGTTATCTTTTCAACTCATTCTTCCACCCATTAATAGAGTGATTTACCACCTAAACGAATCTATATACTTACACTTTTTACAGGAAAATGTTGATATTGTTATTAATTGTTAGATAAATTATCAGTCTAATGTTCGACATACGTATTTAGATACTAGTGATTCTAGATTAAAAAAAATAAATTAATGAGTGGCATAAATTATTTTAAAGAGTTTATTTTTGATATATTGTCAATTTAAATAATTTTTAATTATTAATTAATAAAATATAATAAATACGATCTTTAAAGTAATTATTCAAAATTTTAATGGGTTTTAGGTTTCGTTTGGATGAAAAATGAAATTAAAAAAAATGAAGATGAAAAAAAAAAAACTAAAAATATTTAAACTTTGAATAGTAAAATAATTGTTTTTACATTTTAGTATATTTTAATTAAATTTCAACTGTAACTGTTGATAATTAAATCTCATTTTAGAGAATTTAATTTTTGACTAACATCAATAACATTGTTCATTTAGTTGACCTTATCTAAATAAAGCTTGTTGTTGATGTTAATAATTAAATCTCTTGAATTTTGAAAAGAAAAGAAAAACAAAATTCTATTATTTTTCTAATAAATTCTATTAAATTTGTTAGCATTCCTTTTTTGAAAATCCACCATATTTAGAGTACACATCACGAAAATAGTACTTGGAGAGTCTTAACTCTTTTAACTGCAACAAGATACATATCACACCAACTGAAAAAGGGCGTGACCAAATAGGCACACCATTGCCAAAAGGAGACCTGCAAAACATTGAAGACCAGATTTCTTTCTCGTGTTTGTTTTGGAACGTGCATGTGTGGCAAGATAACGCTTTTTCTATAAGACAAGGCTATCACAACTCTCATTTTCTCGTAATCTTTTTCTTCTTCACTTTTTATATATAGCTTTTTTTTGTCATATTACTTCTAATTTTTTCTTTTAGTTTCTTTTTTCTCACTCCTCTTAATTACTCTCTATAATGACGCGTGATTCTTGTATAAAAAAGACGTAAAACAATAATCAATGTTGTACACCTTATTTTTTGAAGTATTAAAATTGAAAGAAAGATTAAAAAAGGAAAAAACTATATATAACAAATGACATAGCATGACAATGGAATAAAAACAACTTATGCAAATATAAACATTATTGTTGAATACGGAAATGTAAAAGGAAAATTCATTATTGTCATTCAAAAACCCACCACATGTACAGTCAAATAACAAATCGAAGATGTTTTGCATATCTTCAAAATCAAACTGCTGGTTGCAATCGCCTTTATTATGATTATTATTCTTTCTTTCTTTTTTCTTTTTTTTTTTCCTCTTCCATGTCAAAACACTCAATAAACACTTCACGCTTGGTTATATATAACATATATTATCTTCACTCATTTTTCGCAATCTTTCCAATCAGCAATCAAAAGAGTGGGAAAAAAATAATGAAAAGAAGAAGAAGAAGAAGACCCAATCTCTGCAAGTTTCAGCCTGGCCTGGACCATTCCTGAAAACTCTTCCTAGTTAGAGGGAGCATGAGAAGAAGAGTGGGGACAGTGTTGGTAGTCATAAAGAGGAAGGAAAAGGAGAAAGTGTATTGGTTCCCATATTTGACGAGTTTGGTCCTAGTTCTTCCCCTCCAAGATGTCCTTCAACACTGTCCCAGAAAAGAAAGCTTGGACACTGTTGTTGATTCTCCACCCACTCATTCAACTCTTGTCTCTGCAGACACTCCAATGCTATTTCTCCTTCCTCGTCCAAACTACAAGATTGCACTTCAATATTTGGCACCATGTTTTCCACGTTATCTACCAATGGTGGCAGATAATTCGTAGTATCCATAACTGCAGCTGTTGTAAAAGTTGCTGCTGGTTGAGGATGAAGGGCTTGAACTTGATGATGGCTCAAGTTCCACGTTTCAGAGCTCAAACCCATAGAATCTTGGAACAGTTCTGGTCGTACATTGGTGTCTGTTGCTGTCCCATCTAGTGAACTAGTGTCAAACATAAATAGGGGGCACGTGGAGGAAAATAAGGTTTCTTGTACCGGTGGCTTTGCTGTTACATTTTCTTGGGTAGCAAAGTGATCTAGTTGATTGGAATTATAATTGAACTGGGGGTGATCAACACTTTGTGCTGTGGTGATTGATGATGGCACCGAAGGCTTTCGAATTTTCTTTTTGATCCATGAATTCCAATAGTTCTTTATTTCGTTGTCAGTTCTACCAGGCAAGTGGCTTGCAATGTGAGCCCATCTGCATTTTCCCAAAACAACAACATATATAATAATTAAGTATGAATGAATCTTATAGTTTAAATAAGAGGAAAAACCATATCTTCTTAATTAAGGTGCTTAGCACAAAATCGTAATTTGGAAGCATACATACATACACACACATATATATATATATATATATATATATGTGTGTGTGTGTGTGTGTGTGTGTCGAGGAAAACGTGGCAACATATGAAGAAATAAGAAAACAATTTAGTTGCTTATGAAAAGGATTTCAAGAAACAAATACTGTGGATAGTGTGGAGATGAGAGGTTACACGCACTAAAAGCGGACAAGTAAATTTCAACTGACGGAATTGCCTGTTTAACTTCTCCAAAACTGTAGCTCCGAAGCTGATTGCTCCATTAATTGATTATAGCTGATTTAATTAGGACTAAATAATTCCTATGGTTTGTTTTTACAATTAATAATTGACTATTGAGTTGTACAACTAATGTTCATATGTCTCAAGTACATTCCTTCCTGCTCGATTTCCATTTTATTTACAAAATTGACCCCATCTAATATATGATGATTACTCTTATTCATTCAAGCATGGATATTTCCAAAATCCTCGTGCTAATCAACATGGAAAATTTACTGGGTTAGTGGCTATAGAAATCGACTCAACCATATTTTGGGTTTTCAATAGAAAGAAGGAATTACAATGACTGATCATAATTCAAGATATGCTTGGTAGAGCTAGATAGTAGCTAGTGTCAGTAGTGTGATTAAAACCTGTTGCCAACGACCCCATGAAGACTTATAATTAACTTCTCCTCTTCAGGTGTAAACCTGCCTCTTCTAATATCCGGCCTCAAATAATTAATCCATCTCAAGCGACAACTCTTTCCACACCTTTGAAGCCCTGAAAGCCACCGCGAAACAAATATTATAGAGACAAGACAAAAGATTAATTAATTAAACACCGAATAAAAAAGTTAAGGGCAAATCTATATATCATCAAAGCAAGGAGGAAAATGAAAAGAGAGATGATCAAGAGCTATATATTTATTAAAAAAAAAAAAAAAGACAGACCAGCTTTCTCTGGAACTTCACTCCAGCAACCATAGCCGTGAGTGGTGATGTATCTGATGAGTTTCTCATCTTCCTCGGGGGACCAAAGCCCTCTCTTAACCTTCTGTTGGTTGCAGCATGAATGGTGACCCATATTTCTAATTTCAAATTATGTTGTGTCTTCTTCTATTCCTGTCTTTTAGTTTGTTCCCCCAGTGGCTGGCCTTAATAGCCTTGATCAAATGCGGGGATTTGTATGCAATAGTTAGGTCTCTCTCTCTTCCATCCTTTAAAAGTGAGGGGAAGTACAAGGCCAGAGCCGACATTTACAACTTGATGGGGCCCATGCAAGGGACCCATATCTCCATCTAACCCTAAAATGACGTTCCATCAACCTTGTTCTAGCTAGTGTTACCATTTTCTACGTACATGTGTAGTATTACGTAACCAAACTTACTTCACACACTTAACAAATCCTCCCATCCTTCCCACATCCACAAAACTCCCAAAGATGAATAATAACACAAGGAGGAGGGCAACATTGCCGTTTGTTTCATGCGCCTCCTTGTCTGCAACTATTTGGCTACGTCATTACATCAATAACAAGTGGATTTACTACGTACGGGAGAGTGATGGGAAGGATTAATTTGGAAATTGCTGCCAATTAGTAAATTACAGCAGTTTCATCTATTCATGTAATTTTTTTAAAGGGATAAAAAAAATATAGATTGTCGTCTCGTAAAATAATACATTTCAATGAGTGGGAATGGCTTACGCTTAGCTTCTTTACACACTTTTTGTTTTTTCTAATGAGAACTTTTATAGTATCGGCTGTCCTATTTCTGTATATATCTCGATTGTTTATATACACACCTTAAAGTACTCTTTACACAAAAATCCACTCATTGTTTACAAAATTAACTAATATCTATATAAGATAAATATAATATGTATGTGGAGTGGAACACAATAACCTGCAGTTGAAAATGGAAAAACTGCAGAGATGTACACTTTTAGTCTCAAGTGATTTCTGTTAGGAAATGATTATTTTTATTTTTTAAGTATTCTCTCAAAAGATTAATAAAAAAGTTTTTTCTTTAATAAGTTATACTGAACACATGTTATCAATTTTGAATTTGTTTCTTTTATTATTTAATGCACAAGATCGGGACAATTGAAACTGTAGATCTGATCTCAAGTGGAAACCGACAAATATTACTTTTGCTACCTTTTTTTTTTTTTTTTCTTAAAAAGAAGTCCATTTACTGTACAGAAATTATGACCATTGTTAAGTATAAACGGCTAACAAAATGTTGATCTTTATATGATTTTCTAAGACATTAAAGAAAAACAACGGTTAAACTTAATAGCAAAAAAAAAAATGGTTAAACTTAATTATATATAACTAGTGTTTATTCAACATAAATAATAGTTTCTTTTAATTGTGGACTAATATTATTTTTACACGCCACAATTTGCAATACATATAGTTAATTACCTTATAATTTGCACAAGGTTGTTTTAGTTTTGAAGCGGGGTGCATTCCTATTGTTAAAGGCATTATTGGTTTTGTTTTGAACCATTATCTAGAAATTTTATCGCATTTGTGGAGATCTCGAGTAACCAGCTTAACATAAATATCGTAAAATCATAGAAGGGTTTGGATTGACATTTTGTCTGTACAAGGTGACACAATTTCCTACTATCTATTTATTTGAAATGCTACTTTCCTTTCATTTTTTTTTTGTTCTGCCAAATGAAAACGTTGCATTAACGTGGGTACCAAAAGCTCTCAATACTTACAACAAGTTACTGTCCAAAAGGAATAATAAAAATAGCATAAAGAAACACCCTAAACTACCATAATAATTTTGACACGGTAAATGACACTATATAAGGGGTTCTTTCCCAATCCCCCAAGTATAATCATTTAACCCCGTTCACTCATATTTCACATACACCTGTGTGTTTCCTTGCTCACATGAATGTTGGAATGTTTTTTTTTTTTGGGTAAAACCTCTACCATTCATCATTAATGAGAGTCACTTCTGGAATATAACATCTCCGATTCCAAATAATATCAGATTCTTACTCCTTGGACGTTCAAATCTAGTTAATTAAAATGTAAAATTACATATACTTATAGATTTACTCTCATCAATTATAGAGGCTAAATTAAAATAATATGTAAAATTAATTTGTCAAATATACACTTATAAATTTTACAAAGGCGTTTAGGTATACAGTTTAATGAAAATTTTATATAATAAGCTATTTTGGTAAACTATTTCAAACACCTTTTTAAAAAGAAAAAAAAAAACTCATTTCTTAGACACCGCTATTATATTCACCTTGATGATTGATCTTTCTATAAGTTAAAAACATGTTTGAGTGCCGATTTGCCAAAACGTAGAAATGTGAATTTAGAAAGCAATCGTGTGTATGTATGGTATATTTTAAAGAACCTGTCTTGGGCAAATGTTTTGCTCTTTCTCTCTCTCTCTCTCTCTCTCACACACACACACACACACCCGTTTTCAAACTGAAATCTTTAATCAAATCCTGATCGAGCAGATTTTGCTTAATGCTTAATGCTTACTTATCGTATTTTGATTGTGCAAGACTCGTGGCACGATGCCGTCTTTATTTGTTAATTATTATTAGAAAAGCTAATAGTATTTACTAAATGTATTGTTGACGACGGCCCATGAGGTAGCGTGTATTTTATATTTTCAGAAAGAAGACATTTAAATCTTTATTTCTTAACTTCCAACAGAATCTTCTAAAGCAGTGTATAATTATATACATGTTTGAGAAAGACTGAAAAATCAGTTCTTTGTTTTATGATTTAAGCAAGCCCAAGCTACTAATTATTTTGACTTGATTGTCTTTTCATTTAATTAAGAGGGAATAATCAATTAATTAATGCTGTTGGAAAAACGTGTATAAGTAACATGATTGACGTCAATTAAAGTTACTGGCCTTAATAGGACTCGTAAATTTCAGGTTTTAGATTTCACAGGTTGGGCGTTACAATTATTATATATCCTATGAAAGCTATAATCATTGGTGATCTTAACATTTCTCAACAATTACAAAGCTAATAAGACCTACACTCATAATACTCATTTTTCCAGAACCTGTGGACCACTGCCACAGACTACTTAAAATGGAATTGGGCGTGTAGCAGCTAGATTGAAATTTAGATCAATGTATAAGTTTATTTCAGGACCACTAAACCATATATATACGAGACTGTACTACAACGAAGCACGCATATGTCTAAGGTAGAGTGTGGTTTTCGTTGCTTGGCTCTCTCTCTTTGATTAATTAAGAAAGATTATTTTAATACATAAGTGATTTTTTAACATATGAAGATGAAACTTTTTGGCATAAAATCTTTTTGGCTTTTAAATATTTTGACTGTGTGTGTTTTTGTTTTTCAATTTTTAAAAATTAATTAAATTCTTTTAATATGAAAGATAAGTAAATTTAGTCATCTCATAAATTTTGTTGAGTTTAAATTATTAAAAAAATTATAATTATTTGAGCATTTATGATAAATTTAAGATATAAAAATTAAAATTCATTAAGAGTGAATTTTGGTTATATACTCTATTTAATAACTTTTACAGATATCAAATTTTATTTGATGATTAAATTAGGTAACATTATTTTCATAATTATGTATATAACTTATTTTATGAAAAGTATATTATATATTAAAATAAAATTGTTTGATAAAATATTAAATAATTTTAAAAATTTGATAGTCAATATGTCTTATTTTTAAGATTGTAAAAATTGATATATATGCAATGTTGTCAACATGATTATAACACATAAGTAGATATAATATGGTAAAGATAAGGGGCATGACACTAATTAATCTCCAAAGTGGGAAGAGGTGACCCGCATTACATTCCATAAAGATAGACTGTCGGCTTAGCCTAAAGTGGCCTATTATCGTGTTTCAATGATACCTCCATCGAAAAGCCCCATTAGTTATGGAGGTGAGATCATGTTGCTATTGCACAATGACATTGGCTCTTAAAGTAACCATGCAGTGAACTTTAGTAATCTCCTGAATCTTAATATCGTCATCAAGATTTTTCAAATAGATTAGTGAATTCGAAGATGATTTCTTTGTCTTGATAATGATTGGATAAAGACGGCATGTCACAAGTTGTATATGCAATTAAATTAACTAATTCCTTCTTTTTAAAACTGGTACCATATTTTTTATATTTTAATATATTTATGAACTTTGCATTTTTTAAATAAATTTAAGAATAAGTTTTTAAATTTGTATATGTACATTGAGACTTTATTTGAAAGAAGGAGAGAAGTAAGTTAAGGAGAAGAAAAGGAGTTTAGATGTTAAAAAAATTCTCTAAATGAGATAACTCAATTTTTTTTAGTTTCCAAATAAAGAAGAATCCTTTTAAAAAAATTCTTTTCTCAAAATTAAACTCATAAATAAAACCTAAATTTTTTTATAGTTAACACTTAAAATTTATTTTTTTTCCGACTAAAATACACCAAAGCTTTGTTTTTCCAATAAACTGTTTTTTTTTTGTAAGAATTTATTTTCTTAAATTAAGAATCAAGCCATAATACATCGACATGTTAAAGTTTTATTTAATTATTCAAGTTTAAAATGTGAATATAAATTAACTTGCTATTTGAACAAACACTAGTTTAAAATTGAAATTTATGTATAATGCAAGATGAAGTCTTCACTTGAGAAATATAACGATTGTTGAAGAAGCCTTTGTTTGGGCTGGAGTAGTGTTGATTAGTTAAAAAAACACATAACTAGCAAGGCATATGTTTAATATGGCATTTCAAACGTTTGTATTAATACGTATATGGAATATAGTTAAGGAGAGTACTGAAAAGGATTGGAGGGGGGGGGGGGGGGAGTGTTGATTGATGCGAATGAACCACCAAGTTGATGTGCAAGGCAGGAAAGTGATATTTGCTTGTATGAATCGCAAGCTAAAGCTTTGAAAGTAATATACAAATGATTTTTAAAATAGACCTTTAGAAGGAATTGAAAAGGGAAAATGATTGTACTTAGCTTTAAGGAGGGGCAAGAGAGAAGTTTGTGGGCCTGCCAGTTGGATTTTTAACCAGTGATTAGTGAGGGAAATAACTATTAAGGACGTTGCCTTTATAAGCATGGTTGGTTAAGTTATTAAGTCATGGATGAAATGTCTCCACCATTGGTTCTTTTAT